TGGTGATATGAGTAGACATGACGTTTCTATTGAGTTCCCAAAAGTTATTATCATCCAGGGTGGACTGCAGTTTCCACCTCACTTAGGTCGTATCAACACCCCAGCGGGACGCGAACCATGGCACCATTTTCTTCCTAGACGAAATAGGTTAAATACATCTCATATATATGATCTACTGTTAGTATCGAAAGCATACTTATAAACAAAAATAATCACCCTTGTCCTCCCTTTACCACCACATATTCTACTCATTAGTCACTTACTTCCCACCAATATATTAGTATATCGTTTCGTATTTATTCATTTAATTTTGATCTTATTATAATGTAAGTCCTCAGTTCAAAAAATTGGTATTTCTCCAGGTGTTAAATTATTGCGTCATTAAGCATGGAGTTTTGACTTTAAATTCTCAGCTCTATGGCATATTTCTTGTGAACAATAATGTAGAATCAACTAGTATTGACTTAACTTTGTTTTCGCAAGTTGGTCGGAGCGATAGGGAGACCTTTTGGGACCTAGTAGTACGTCTTCTGCCATAATATTCGTGATTTATAGCATCGGACCATTGACTTGGTTAATCTCCAAATATTTCGCCGGCATACTCAGCTAGAGGCTTCATTACTAGGAATAATTTCAACTAATCAAAGTGGCAAGTAAAGACATTCCCTTCGGAAAATGTAATGTTTATCCGTTGTTGCATCACTCCTCGTCCCTATTTTGTGTTCTACCCCCTAGTGCTGCATCCCTTTCAACCCCACTTTATATGACCTTCTACCTATTCACACAATTTTGTGCTCTTGTTTCCTCCAATGTCGCTTAAGCGTGTATCGATACAAGTTGGTTTAGTGAAGCGTAATCCTCTTCATCACAGGTGCCAGCTGCCATTTGCAGGTCTCCTGATCCTCATTCAACCCTCCTTTTCCTGAATTTATCCTTTAATTTCCTATCCTACAAACAGAGACCCTCGTGTAAATATTTCGCGGATTCCAGGTTTAAATCCTCTCATTGCAATCACTTTTTCTTGACTTCCCTTTGTCCCTCATAAGCTGCTCCTTGGCGAGGTCTC